AAGATTTCGAATTAAGCCCATATTTGGTTCGCGATCCATTCTGAACAGAACTCGTCAATGGATTATAAACACACACACACACACAAAAATTTTTGAAATACATTAACCAGTTTAGCCGATGAATGCATAAACAGATAACTTTCAAGTTAGGAGACATTTTTTTGCAAGCAACATCGACTGTGAAAAAAGAGAGATTTTAATTATACCCTCTTGGCATGAGATTTCAAGGTCTAAAAAGCAAGCCGTTTGTCCGGAGTAGGTGGTGTTGAGTTGCAAGCTGGATCCATAGATATTACTGGCGATTTCAGAAAAGTTGGTGTCAACAGGGAGGGTCACTGAGCTGGTAATTCCTCCAGAAGAGGACGCAAAACAAACGCCCAAATCAAAAGCATGCTGACCTACGGCATGCAGTATTTGACAGAGCAAGTGGAAAAGTTGCCAGATGCATAGCGTGAAAATTAAACTGCGAATTACAGATGATCCGAGTATTTCATGACTTATGCTACTCTAACAGTTTTTCTCATGGCGAAACAATGATTTCCAGACTGAACAAAGTCACTGTGCTAGATACGCGATCATTTCAAGTTTCGCAGAATCAACGATGGCCTGGAAATTTCAAAGCAGGAGGGCCATGCTCGCCTTTTCAATATCGCTGAGCTAAAAACAGTGCTGCACAAATTTGACGAAATAAAAATTGAAAAAAAAAACTGAGGGCAACAAGACCTATAAAAAAATTTTCGGTGGTTTCGAAATCATTCCAAATTTCTAACTCACTCACTGTCCTCACTCCTGGCTTACTACTTTCAATTTCAAAAGTTATAAAAGAAGAAAAACCTTTGCAGCATAATGTACACTTGTGCAATGGCTTCCGAATGCTTTGGGTACTGGAGCTTTGGGATTATTTGTAATATCCAATCGATGGGAACACCTTCGGCGTGAACAAGTTGCCAAAAAATGAACTGTGCCGTTGTTTCCCATGTGAGCGAGGCACTGACAATTGGCAAGAAAGAATCCTTCCTGAAAAATTGCACAAAATTACAAAATTTTGAGATCAATGGAAAATTTCCTTAATATTACTTATATGCTACAATCAGCTTAGTAATTTCAGTATAGCCGTTGCCGCATAGGCAGTAGGATCCGGCTGAAGGTACACAATTCCTTAACAATCGATGGACCCGGCTTAGCTGTATCAGGTGTAGGGGAGCATCTCAGCAACATATTTGTATGGTATATCCACATCAACTCTGCTCAAGCGGTCTGATCCAGAAAATCTTGGCAGTAGAATTCTGGGGAGAAGACTACAGTGATCCAGAAAACTATCATCCTCCCCACACCAAGCCATGTTCGAGCAACCACTCTGTTCAAAATCTTGCGAATGGAAATAATAGACCAGAAGGACTGTACTCAGGTGTCTTGTGTAAGGTGCTACAATTGGCTTAGTAAAATAAAAGAGTTACCTGAAAAATGAGATATTTTCACGGACCATTTCACCAATAAGATCGGCAATTTGTCGCCCATCCAGCGAATGTGCTAAAAGCTTCATTAGCTCTGCACTCCCCATCGCTTCGGTTGCAAATTTCTCATAAACATACGGGATCAGATGCGCGAAAAGCACAAAATCATCAAGATGGCATTGCTAAAACGGCACCTCTTGTTTATATAACTTAAAGGACAGGCAGCACAAGCCACGTTCAGCTTTTATCTTTGAACTATGGTAGACGTAAATTTCAGTTTCTTTCAAGCCTTGGAAAAAATCTTTTCCCAACAATTAGCTAACGTTATAGTGATTGACAAGAATACGGGAAGAGGAAAAATGATATTCAGGTGGTCCCCATAGAAGTGGTATTTAGAAATATCAAACAGACGCTGGAAGTACATAGCTCAGGATCGAAGGAGTTGGCACAGCTGGATTTGGGGTATGAAAGCCATCCCAGAAGTATTGTTAATCTGAAATTTCCACACCGACCGTCCAGAAATTCTTGGTATTTTTGGGATCTTAATCTTCTTTTACGCATGCCTTTTTATATGTCACTCCAAACTTTTAAGCAAAAGCCTTCAGTTGTTTCGCAACAAACCTCCAAATCCGAAACGATCTGCTGAATCGGAGGGATATCCAACATGCGACAAAGATCTGTGTAAGCCGTAATTGCCGTATCATTTTGATCCCGACGATTTGAGGATGTGAAAAATAACAACAAATACGATATGGACGAGCATCTAGAAAAAAAAACACCCAAATTACTGTTTTAACAAAAACAGTATAATTTCGGCAGTGGAAAGATAAATG